ATCAATGCCCCCACTGCTACCAGGCCCTGGGTCCAGCTGGGCCCTAGCCTCACCCCCCACCATCAGCACAGAAAACTGGGGGGGCATGTGCCCTCCATGGCCCCCTGCCCCACACACCGCCTATGAGCTGAGCACAGGCTCTGAGTAACGAGGGAGCCAGCTGTACTGAACTGAGGTGCCAACAGCTGAGAGCCCCATGAATTAACACATTGTGTTCAATCAGGTTAAGTAGATCGGGCTGGTATCATTAGCATCATTTAAATGGATGCCCACTTACAGGTGGGCATCTTTAGTGGTTTCTGGGTACGAGTTGTTCCTACTCTTTTCAGCCATGCCCCGTTACATTTTGCAGAACCCAACTTGACATCCCCTAGGGCTGTTTAACAGAGATGCTGAATACGTGAAGCTTCCACTGACCGGAGATGCATCTGCAGGACTTCAGCCTCCCCAGAAACTGGACATTAGGCACTGAGCTTCCCTGGATTGATACACAGCTAGAAGCGGACAGTTTGAAAACCTTGGCCAAGGAGTCTGTAGCATCAGACCTACTGTCAGCTAGGCCTGCGTTTCCAACCAACAGTTTATTGAAAAGAAAAAAAACATGCCCAGAACTCAAGCCAACCTGTTTCCCTAGTTAGTGAATCCTGTACCCACACGACAGTAACCACCTTAAATTCTGCATAAGTGCACACTCTACGGTAAATACAGTAGCCTAAAGGTACCAAAAATAATAAGGGGTTATAATAAAGTCTCAGCTCACACATTATCCATCTGGTTGTGAGGCTTTTCAGAAGCCCTCTTAAATATCCTTATTAAAATGCTGTCGAGACAGCTTGGGATTCTGTCCTACATTTTGTGGTAGGGTTTGTGTGATTGGTGCGGTGCTAAAGAACTGGCCTGCTGGAGGCAAGTTGACAGGTCATTATTTTGTGTCCTACAAATTCCATGAGCCGATAAGGAAACTCCACCAATTTGATGTTTTATCAGTTTGTAGGTTGGGGGAAGAAAAAGAAATTATTTCAATCGAGATAACGATTCTATTTCTTCTCCGCAAATTAGAGTTTTACTTCTCGTGGGGGGTGGAGGGAGGCTCTGCCAGATGGGCCAGATCACATACAAGTCAGCAGAAAGGTTTTGTCGCAGCCCACTGAAACGTCCGGGTAAATTGTAGGGAGACCAAAACTGCTCCTTTGAGAGAAACAGAAAGAGGCAGAAATATAAGCTGGGTTGCAGGAGAAAAATCTATTTGCAGACCTGGGGCAAAGCAACATGTGGAAAGCCAAGCAACGATCATGAGATGATTAGAAAGTCTGATGGGTAGTTCACTGAATCATTAAGTAGTATCCAAGTCAAATATGCCAAAGAGTGCCAATTATTTAATGCTAAGTATAGTGCAAATGCCCAGTTAATAGGCCGGGTTACTTTCAGGATTTTATGATTTCTGATTGCCTACAAAGGGATGGATTCTCAGCAGATGTAAATTAGCCTGGCCCCACTGTAAAATGTGCCTTTCCACCTAGGCTCTAATGTAATGCCTTTGCTCCAGTATCTGAGTGCACTGCAAATTTTAATTCATTTACGTCTCAACCACCGTGACACCGGTAGGCACATCATTATCCCTGCCTTATAGACAGGGGCTAGGGCAGTGGTTCTCAACCTTTTTTGTATCAGGATCATTTGTAAACATCAATGACCAGTCCCGACCCCACGCCCCTCACTCCTGACCCAATGTCCTCCAGCCCCACAGTATGTGGGGCAGGGGATGGGTGTGTGGGGCAGCAGGGGATGTCTGGGGGGCATAGAGAGCCCCGAGCAGCCCTTGCAGGCTGGAACTCTATCAGTTTGCAAGGCAAAAGCCACAATTTCCCACATTTTTCTCCTTTAAAGGAGAATCCATTTTTAAAGTCTGTTGATCCGTTTTTAAAGTTTGTTCAGAAACTTATTTCATATATTCTTGTGACCCACTTTTGGGTCGTGACCTACGGGTTGATAAATGCTGGGCTAGGGCATAGAGATATTAAAATAGCCTCATTTTGAGAGGTCCTGGTCACCTACCACTCCCCAATGGAAACACTTTTCCATGTGCACCCCATGGCGCATAGATTTCATGGGCATGAATGCTGGTGTTGTGAAAGATGTCACCATTACATATAGTTTCCAAGTTTCATGGCACTGACAGACATGCAGCTCCCTGCTGTAACTCATGGTGCTTCACACGAAGTGCCATGAGTTACAGCACTCCCCCAGACCCACTGTTGGGTCCCTGGGGTTGGGGGATCAATCTGCAGTTTGGAGCAGCTGTGAGTCCCCTAGCCCTGCCCTTCTCCTCCCCCGCTCCCACCTGCTCCCCTCCCTCAGCCCTGGGACCATGTTTAGAATGGGATAGGGGAAAAGGAGCAGAGGGAGGTCAATCTGGGGTTTTTCCAGCCTGCATTAGAGGGTGGGGCGGATGGACTGGACCCCTCCCCGACCTCTGATGCACCCACCCCACCTTCAGCATAGGCTGGGCAAACCCCAGACCAAGCTACTTCTGCTCCCTTCCCCCCATCCCATTCTGAAGACAGCTCCAGGATCAGGGCTGAGCTTCATCAGCACAGCCCTGCTCCCAGCACATGCTGACACAAATTAATGAAGGCGCTTCACTTTGGACCATCTTCATCCAAACCCTCATGTAAAGAGGGTTCAGATTGTCGCAGGATTGGGCCCTTTTAAAGTGCTCTGCAGCTGTGCTATCCTTATCAGCTTGGGAGAGAAGGAGCTATGGGAGCAATTTAGGAGTTTGGTCTCTGATTTGGGTTCTGATTAATCAGTACTGAACTCAAGACTTGTTCCCTGGAGAACAAATCACTGGAACTGAACTGAGAATCCTGGAAGAAGGGACTGCCCCATGTGCTGTTCAACCATTTCCTTTCAATACTGCTGTAAATGTGGAAATAAAGAAAGTTACAGTTAGAACAAATCCAGACTCCACATCCTGGGGAAGCTGGCCTGCAGAGCCCTGGACATCTTCTGCCATTCAGAAGAGGCGCAATGCTGGTATCAGAAGGAGAAACAAACCCATGAGCATGGACAAATGAAACACAGCATCAGCATAACAGGTTTTATGCTCATGGAAGGAGGTAGCAGACAGATGACACAAACCTCTAGCCCAGAATAGTCTCACCCAAGCCAGCACAGAATTATTCCTGAGAGAATCAGAGGTAAAATGGAAATTATACTGGCTTAGGGTTCATCTGTTCATACCCATTCTGCAGTAGCTGATGTAAATTTATAACCTGATGCAAATTATACCAGGAGACATGCACCCCTGTCCCATAACCCTTGATCAGTGACATTAGGAGAAAGGCTTCATCATCATCATAAGAGACATGGAGTTAGGAAAAACCCACACAAGCTTTGTGGCTGCTCCAACAATCATGAATGGCCCCACACGATGCTGGCATGGGGTGCGCAGCGGTGCAGGGATCTAAGTCTGCACTTATTTTAGCATCTTCATTAATGACTCAGAAGACGGAGTGAACAACATGGTAATCAAATTCCTGCATCATGATTAAGCTGGAGAGGAACTGAGAGTAACAAGGAGAGATGAAGACTACAAAGGTGTCTAGAGGCTAGTTGAGAACCTGCAGAAGATGACAAAACAGGCCAAACTTGGTGAGGTTTTGAGCATCTGTTGCTTTCACTCAAATCCTGAGGTCCTGCTCCATGAATGGTGCTGGGCTCCTCTGACACAGGTCCAAAGGGTTCTGTGGATTGCCCCCTTGGAGGGGAGGGAGCAAAGCTCCCAGCCCCAGGCAGTGCAATCCCAGGAAAGCTCAAAGAGGGAGGAAGCCTTGTATCATTATCTTCCTTCCCAAGGAGGTTTCCAGAGACGATGCCCTGCTGGGGTCTTGGGAGCTGCTCTGCCTTTATCTGAGCATGGTCCCATCTTCTTCTCAATGCATGGTGCCTGAAGAAGGTCTGAGGAGACCTGAGGGCCTTGTTCC